CTCAAGGTGGGCCACCTCAGTATCCGACAGCTGCTCGTTTCGAGGTGTGACAGCTGGATCGGACCATGTACTTGTCCATGCTCGCTTCAAGCTCCGCTTGTCGATTTGAAGTAATTAAATTGCCTTCAAAACGTGTCAACCTCAAAGCACTAGCAACCACAAAAACATGTGGAGCTTTCAAAGAAAGTGTCACTGCACGGATCAATGATCAATCGGCCGTTCACGTCGAAACTCCAATGACGTCCAGATAACTTTGTTTGATACTCAGTGGCCACATTTGAGAGACGCCATAAAAGTGCGGTGAATTCGACCTTACCACAACAAGCAGTACTGAGAAAAGACTGAATTTACACAACGACACTCCCTCTCTCCGGTTTGCCGACTCAGGGAATTATCCTTCATTGAGCCTTAAAACTGCGCGATCGGCAAGATATGATCGCCAGAAATATTGAACTGCGTTAGCTGGCTTCATGGATTCAACTTCAAAGGTAGGTCACTTCCACGAGCTTTATTACCCATTACATTAAGCCTCTGGCAAACATAGACCGCCTTGCATCACCGTTAATATACCTCGCACCAAGTGATAATTGATATGGCTGGCAATATCGAGCATTGGCAAGGGCAATTCAGAGAGCTATTGGATCCGCCTATACGTCAATCAGCGAATCTACATCTATCAACTGAAATTCCATACGATATTGACTGCGAGCCATATACGAGATCAGAATTGAAAACGGCATTGCGACAGTTGAAAGATTGGAAGGCAGCGAGTGAGGATGGTATTCCAGCGTAAGTCTACGAACCTGGTTGTTCTGCCTTGACAGAATCATACCATGGACTATTCTTGACTATATGGTCTACAGAAGTCATCCCAACTGACATGTCCATATGTTCAAATTGTCGCAACATCAGTCTCATTTGTACAGCCGCTAATGTGATTGCGACCATACTTCTCAGCGCATGTGTGATTCAGCGCAATTTTGCGCACTCGTCGTAACCAAGGAGGGTTTCATTCAGGTAGAGGATGTGTTGATCAGATCTTCATTCTGCCTCGCATACAGGAACACTGTCACCAGAATCAAAAGATCACCACGGCCTGTTTTATGATTTCAAGACAGCACTTGATTCCATCGACAGAGAAGCCTTATGGCAAATCTTGCTTGCTGACAGAATCCTAATAAAGCTGCTCAATGTGGTCAAAGCCTACTGAAGCACAACATCAGCCCAAGTACAAGCTCTTGCTGAGAAGTCATATTCTTTTCCACTGAATTTTGAGTTCGGCAAGGATGCTTTCTTTCCGCGGTTGTTTTCAGCTTATTTATAGACTGGGTGATGCATCAATCAATTTTACCTAATGGTGCATGTGAAATGAGCACTGGATTCACAGTACCTGACCTGGAGTATGCCGAATAAATTGTCGTACTTAGTAATAACCCTCAGTGACTACAGCCAACGCTAGACCGAATCACCAGCTTCGTTGAAACTGTTGGTACTACGATTAATGAACACAAGACGGAGTTCCTGACTACGTATCTTGGCACAATACAACCACCGTTTATCAAGCGTCAACCTATCGAAGAATTTAGCTCCTTCCGTTATTTGGACCTTGATATACAAGCAAACAGGCAAAAGATGAAATCAGGAACCGAATCGCACGAGCTCCAATTGCATTTAGACTGCTAGCCAGAACACTCTGGTTTCGCTTGGACATCAGCATACGTACTTAGCTGTTGATACACAGAGCATCTATCAGACCGATGTAAGCACATGCTTGCAAAACATGACAACTCAGAAAGACAGACATCCCGTCGCTCGAAGTCTTTGACCGTTGGTGTCTTGGACGCATCTTACTAGTCTCCTAGCAAT